ATTAAAAGTCTTTCTATTGCAGTGCTTTCTATCAGAAGTAAGTTTCTATATGTTTATAAAATATAAAGGTACTTTATCATCTCTGGAGTGAAACTCTTGCTTTTTTGAGCAACTATAGGAAAAACTCTCATTCTGTCATAAGAGCTCAGAAGTGTTTCCACACAATGCATATAGCATGTTAAGCTACCAGAGAGAGCTGTCACACATCAAAGTAAATAGAAATGTGGAGAAGTGATCACTCAATGTGGTATCCACAGTGGTCTCTGAAAAACCTTCTTTATTCCTATATGTAAAGCTCTTCTTTTGGGTCCTTTCAATTCCCACTGAACTCTTCGAGAAACTTTTTCCATATTCCAGATAAATATTCATGTCCCTTATTTAATCCCCTGTAGCACAGGGCAGGGACTTTTGGAGGTGTCAATACTTACCTGAGTCTTCCACTGCCTCTCAAAAATGCTGCTTTGGTGGCTTCATTATTTGAGCTGATTGCTGTGTGATTTTATTATGGGGGTTTTTTAGCCTTTTTTAACTTAAAAAGCTGTGTGAGTGATAGGCTGGAGGGAAGAACAATTTCCTTCCCACATCAAGAGGTATGCAGAGTACCAGGAACAGAGTACCAGGAAAATCCACTGCCATAGACTGGGACCCAGGCTCTGGGGTGATTTCTGAATGCAGAAGCACTGCAAAACATTTTGCTTGAGCTGGCAGATCCTGATGCATTACCTTAGTGACTCTGCCCAGGAGATAAAGCACTCAATGCTTTTAAGTGGCTGGTTTTGGAGCCAGGCAATCCCCTCCACTGCCAGTGCTTCCATTTCAATCAGAGATTTCCTGCCCTCCTGCACAGCCCTGGTCACACTGCTCTTTCTTGTCTGCAGCTCAGGAGCACCCACGGTTTGTCCCTAAAAGCCTCCTCGCCTCATTTTCCAGCTCTGAGGAAAGGAAAAGAGCATTTAATGGGAACATTGAAAAAGCACTGCAGCATTCAGTCCTCTGAAATTCAATATCACACATCACCATTTGTCATTTTGCTTTGAAGCATTCTGCCTTGAAGCTTTTGTCTCAAGCTCTGTTCTTCTCCATGCCTGAGTGTCTAACCAAGCATTAGTGTCATCTTTACCTTGGTGTCAGTGCCCATCCCAGGGAAGAGAGAAAGTTAAATGGCACATCTCTGAGGAGATCTAAGACCAGTTTCTGAAATGTTAACAGAGAGAAGGCTGGCAGTGCCCAAGGGGTCACTCTGGGTTTCATTAATTCTAATAGGGAAAACAATGAAAACTGTACTGCTTGCTGTAAGCAACTAACAGATTAAAACTCATTCATGCTCTGATCTTTAACTTATTATCATCTTATCATCTCTGATCCTTAACTTATTTTTCCCTAATTTTTGTAATAATCAGAGTAAGATGATGTCCTGGGGTGACTTTATGATGCTGAATTATATCTCCATTCATCTGTTTAGCTCAGAAATAAATTTTGTGCCTTTAAAATTAGATCCAAGAGCAAAGGAGGGGAGAAGGAAAAGCAGTGAACTTTTTGTGTCTGTATTCAAAAACAAAGAGCTTCAGCTCTGTGTGTTGTCTGTGTTGTCTGCAGCATGGACAGGGAGCAGGAGAGAACTCAGCTTTGACTTTAGTCAGGTTTTTTTTAGTTAGCTGAGGCTGGAAGGTTTTTTGGAGCTGTTCAGCTGTTGCTCAGTCTGGGAACACCAGGACTATCATCCAGGCTGGGACACCAGACCTGAGCCCCAGGGAGACCAAGAAAATACCAAGGACATACCCATGAACAAGACTCTTTCTCTCTCCAATCCACAGAAGGACTTTCTGAATTTGCCATCTCTTCAGAGCAACAAGAGGTTCCATTGTTCAATATTACTAATCTTTTCATGTTTGTGAGTACTTTGCTTGTTAAATAAACAGAGTTTTCCACTTTTCCCCAAGGAAATCTTTTCCCAAACCAGCGGCAGGGAGGGGCTGTTTGAATTTGCTCTCTAGAGGAAGTCCTTTGGAGGTTTTTTCCCACATTTGCCACAAACCAGGACAAAAACTCTCTTGGTGCACAACATGGGGCTTGAGAAAGTGGAAAAAGCCTGTACTGATTGCATTTTGTTGTATTTTGTAATGGGATAAAGCAGTCAGTAGCCATGCTGCTTGAATTCATAATGTCTCTCTGGGTGGAGGCCTTCATGTGTCTCTGGTCCCCAGGCTTTTTTGAGGTTTTAACACTTTTCTGGTCCCTGGGCTTATTTTCCTATCTGGAGAGAGCTCCAGTATTGTGCTAATACGTAGCTTTTACAGTAGAGGGGCATGGATTAGTACAGCAATTGTGCTGGGCTCAGTGATAATGATTTATAGGGAGTTTACAAAGGTACTGGGGCTTGTTCAAGGTGTGTATGGTTTGTGGTTTCTTCATCCAACCCTGTATCCTAGTTCCAGTAGCATGTTTTGGGGGTTTATTAGTAATTGTACCCCGTTTGTTAGAGGAGGAGCAGGCAATGAGGCTTTTCAGCCTTTCCTTTCCTTCTCCTCCTTTGAATCTGTTGCATCACTGCTTTAGAATGTTCTGTTTGCCCTGCATGTTAAAGAGACCACGTTCTCACTCATGTCTAGAGTGAGGGCTGAGATGTCCAGAGGGGCTGATGAGACCCCTGACCCAGGAGGGGACCCGGCCATGGAAAATCCTGAGTGGTGTGGGGAACGGGAGGATTTGGGCCAAACAGATGATGATGAACACCATCTAGGCTCTATGGCACTCTGCCTGTCTTTATTGCCTTGCACAAAATAAATTGTTCCACTGAACTGGGTTTTATGGCAATTCCTTCTCAATTTTCCTATACTTGTATTTTTATTGTAGCTGTTTCCAGACACATTGAAAAAATGGGCAGATTAAAATGTCTGATGAAGTCTCTGAAATGCCAACCAGAAGTCTTTGACTGTCTCATTGCCAAGGACAACTGAATTTCTTTGTTTGAATCAATCCTGAACAATTGCAACAGGAGGAGGAAGTCTGGGTATTGCTTGGGCCCTTCATCCCAGAAGTCTGCGCATTCACCAGTGTCATTTCCCTTCCCATGAGTCACTACAAGTGTGGTTGAATTCGTGATCTCTGAAAATAAAATTTGCAAAAGGGATCAATTCTCTACTGAGCTTCCTTCCACTTTGTTTTTTTTTTGTCCATTTGCCAGGAAGAGAACAAGCCCAAGCAGCATTAGGACAAACATAAACTCCAGGCATTAGGAAATGCCTCCTTGTAATACTGCTGTCATCACCTCAGCCTTACACTTTAAATGCTCAGAAGGACTAGGACTCGTGATTTATAATTACCTTTTTTTTGAAAGCATTCTTTTTCATGAAAGCAGCTTAAAAGAAAGCATATTTAAATGTTAATATTTCCAGGGAAAAATTCTAAAGACAAAGGACGTTAAAAGAACCCATGAATTATCTTTGTTCTGATTGATTTATTCTGTGGAAGGGGTAGAGTCTCATTTTCTTTTTTTTTTTTTCTTCTTTTTGAGAAATGTAGACCCCAAAGCCTAATTCATCTCAAAAGCATATTTTAAACAGATGCTAATGTGCTATTAATGAAGGAAAAGTGTAACTGCCGAGCAATCCTAATTATTGTGCAACGTAATTAGGATTGTATTTCCTCCTGAACAGTAACAGTTCTGTTATGCAAACATCTCAAAAAGAGTCCATTAAGTTCCCAAATCAATCATCGTTCCCAGGTAGTGAAGATGAAAGCACAGTTCGAATTTTCTCTGTTTTTCAGTCCCAAGAAAACGACAGATGACAGCTGAAATCCTCCAGCTGGGTGATCCAGGGCAAGGGTGGCTGCCAGGCGTGGTCCCCATCCCTGTCCCTGTGGCCCCCGAGCCCTCAGCAGCCTCTGCTTTCCTCCTCTCCTTTTTCCTGACCCCCTTCCTCCTCCCCTTCACCTCCAGAAAGGTCTACTCTTTGAAAGAGCAGAGCATTTTACATTTCCCTCCTAGGAACATTTATTCAGCCACAGGACTAATAAATGAAACCCTCAGTTCTACTTATGAAATCAGCTGCACCAGCAGCATATTTATTTTTCATTTTTTCTTTCTATTCTTTTGCATTTTAATTATCCTTCTTTGTGATTAAAACAGCTACATTCACAATTGCTTTGATCACCTCAAAGAGCAATATGAACTAAAGTTTCATCTTTTATTATAAAACTGTTAGGTAGGATCTGGTGGTGCTGTAATTTTGCCATTAAGAAATGGCCCTTTTCACTTTTCTGCCATTCACAATTTTTTTGCCTCTTTTTTTTTACTTCTGAACAGTAAACTGAAGAGTCCCAGTTACAGGGTACAAAACAGGTACTTTCTGTACCAGAGCACCACAGCTTTCCCTGCTGCTTTTGAATTTGTCTTTTTGTCCTATCAGTAAAGAATGAGCTGTCATATTTTGAAAGGTACTCTGAGATAAAGCATTTAAAGTAGCAAAATACCAGCCAGATCTCATAATTTGCAGGAGAGCCCTGCAGAATGGCTCCCTTTTGGTCTTTACAAAGTGAATAGAACAATTTAATATTAGTGCTGTGTTAAGCTGCTGTGTCAATGGCCTTGGCAAACTCATCACAGTGTTTTTCAGTTTGACTTCCAAGCCCCTCTCTGTGTATTTTCTGAATCTCAGGGTGCACTGTCTTACCCCAAGAGGGAACTTGCTCAGAGGCATTTTGTCAGTGCTGACCACTGATGGATTTTGGGGTTTGGCTCAGACATTCTGCTTTTTAGTGATGCAAAAAATAGCTTTTCACTAGAGAAGACAAGGAGAAGACAAGGAGCAGAAGTGATGCATATTCTGCCACCACCTGGGGGTCCTGTGTGCCTGGTTTGCAGTTTTCTATTTATTTTTCCGTAGGACAACAAAGACATGACCTGTCACGTTCCACAGGCAAGTTCAGAAGGTTTTCCCCTGAAATCTCTCCCTCTTCAGACAATGCTACTGATGTCTCTGTTTCTGCTTTTCTTGCAGTTCGTTGCTCACCCCAACTGCCAGCAGCAGCTGCTCACCATGTGGTACGAAAACCTCTCAGGCCTACGGCAGCAATCCATAGCTGTGAAGTTCTTGGCAGTTTTTGGGGTCTCCATCGGGCTGCCCTTCCTTGCCATAGCCTACTGGATTGCTCCCTGCAGCAAGGTACAAGCTCCTGATGGGCTGTTCACAGGCACTTTGCCCAGGGCCTGCAGGGAAACCCCAGATTTTTCCATCAAGGTGTTGGGAAGTGATTCATGGTGTCCTCTAAGATTGCCCCAGGGGAGAGCAGGCTTGGGGCGTTGCTTGACAGACACCAATGGAACTGCCATGGTTGGAGATTCAGCTTTGCAGGGAAAGAAGTGGGGTGGTGGGCAAAGAGGGTGAGGGAGTGGGGGACAGGAAAACAAAAGGAGAAAGAAATGTATAGAACATAACAACATAGGAGTGTAATGAAGAAAAAATAGAAGAGACACCAAAATTGGAAATAACTAAAGGAGGAGATTTTTGTTTTAGTTAACTCTGATGTTTAAATTCTTGGTTTTTCATGCACTTTTTGTTGTGGGTTCCTCCCTTCTTCAGGGCTCCTTTGTTACCCTTCCTCCTTCTTTCTGAGCTTGTGGTTTTAATTAGTTGAGCATTGTTGTGGTTTTAGTTAATGCAGCATTATTGTGGTTTTAGTTAACAGAGCATAATTTTGGATTTAGTTAGTGGAGCATTATTGTGGTTTTAGTTAACAGAGCACCATCGTGGTTTTAGTTAATGGAACATTATTATGACACATGGACCTGAAACTCCGGCAAGCCCCAGGAAACTTCTTAGTGTTGCAGCAAGGACCAGACTGAATCATAAAATCTTTATGGTTTTGAGGGAAGAGATGGTGAAACTTGGAATACTGCTGTATACCTAAATATAGATCAGATGGAGGAAGAGAGTTTGGTGAGACCTAGAGGTCAAAGGACCAGAGCCAAACATTATTTTAGGTAAAATCTCAAGTGGTTTGTGGTAGGAAATCTGTTGAAGTTTCATCCTGAAAGAATCTGCTCAAACAAGTGGAGATAAATAGGTGTATGGCTGAGTGATAAATAGCTTTGTCACTGCTCTTGCCACAGAAAAAGGGGTGGCAGGGGAGAAAATCATTTCACATTCAGCAATAGCCAGCAACATCATCCCTTACAAGGTAGATATCTTCTGCAGGAGGCTTGTCACAGGTACTTAAATTTGATAAAAATGACCCCTGGCACTGGTATTTTATTCAGTGTTGAAAGCATCTTCTTCCACTTCCTCTAAAAACCAGTGAGGAATCCTTTCTAACTTTATCAAACTCAAGTAGTTATAGATCCATCAATTAGTATTGAAGAAAGACTATAATTTGAAACACATATTAATACAACCAGAAAAAGTCCTTCAGTACATCTGAGATACCAAAATACATTTCAGCCTTGGTCTCCTCCAAAATAGCTCCAAGAGGAGCACTTTGTGTTAGAGGATATGAGGATGTAACTTTATCTCCTCGAGGTCTGTGCAAACACAAAGCTCCTCATTTTTGATGGGTACCAGCCAGGACTCAGAGGTGCTCACAGAGGAGTTCATGTGAGATCCAGGCTGTGCTGTGGGTGCTTTTGGCTGGCTCATAGAGGGAATTATTGTGTGGAATTACCACCTTGGTTCCTTCATGTCAGACCCCAGCCTAGCAGGGATTTATGAAGCTGTTTAATTTCCTCCACCTCTGTTGGATGTGTTGGGAGTTGGCACACCAGCCAACAGCAACATTTGTGGTGCAGTCTCAGAATTACAGAGGCCACATTTGAATATGGCAATAGGTGGGAAGAACAGTTAGACTAGAAATAAGTGGAGAACTTAAAATAAAAACATAAAAACTAAGAGGAAAGAAACTGAGGCAACCCACACTAAAACTAAAACAGTTTTACAGCAGAAGTAAGAAATTATTGAGAAAGTTACTTGGTTTTAATTTCTTGAGGTAGGTGTATTAAAATTTAAAAATGGGGGGAGGGGGATACTTAACTTTTCTTCAGCTTTGATTTCATTATCCTAAACCTTTCATGCATTGTCATTTTTCAATGTTCCTTCCTTCTCACCCCACTAGACTTTGAAAAACCACATGTAACCTTCTAGCACAAAGCCCAATTGAAATTTCTTTCAGGCAGGTATTGTCTTTTAATGCATGGATTTGCCTTGATCAGAACAATGTAGTCTTGATTTTTGATTGGGGCCTGTGATAGAAATAACTGAATCACAAACACAATTTTTTCCCTAAGAATTGGTACCTCACCCAAAATCATCACTGTTAATTTCAAGGGCTGCAGGTTGATCCAAGGGCCTGCTATCCTCTCACAGTGTTATTGCAGAAAATTCTACACAGGCAGCATCTCCACTCTGAGCAGCCCAGTTTTGTCCTGGTCAACTTCACAAGTGTTTTATTTGGTTTTTACTGACGAACCAGTCTTGATGTTACACAACTGGGCAAAGAAATCATTTTTCCACCGTAATAATCAGTTAAGATATTTAACTTACATCAGGTCTGTCTTCAGAGACTCACAGGTGCCCAGGTATGAGTCAGGGGCTCATTTCTGGACCAAGGCAGCAAGAAAAATGGAAAGTCTCTTCAGTATTTAGTAGCAGACACATTTTCCAATAGGATTTCCGACTCTGTCAACTTTATAAAATATTTTATTGACATTTTATAAACTCTGATAAGAAAAACAAATAAAGCCCCGAATTCTAGTACTTCCTTTGAATTTCTACTAGACCTAGAAACCTCTGCTTTTGAAATATTTCCTGTTCTGCCATAAGCAGAGACCAGGGCTCCTTGGAATTAATCTGCTATTGGAGATAAATATGAAAACAAGTAATTTCCTTTTTATGTCCTTTTTCCTATGAAGTTTTATTATCAAATCAGTGGATATTAAGAAAAAATGGATGCTATCTTGGCATCAAAGGGAAGGAATCAATAAGTAATAAACTGAAAAAAAAATTCCAATTAGCTTTGAGGGGAGTTTGGAAAGACCTCATCCAGGCCAGCTCTTCCATTGCTCCCTGTTGTGTCCAACACTACAGGCTTTGGCCCTAGTGCTCCTGAAAATGCTTCTACTCTTTCCATCATTCTGGAGTAATCTTGTCTTGGGTCACAGAAAATTTAAAATTTAAAGAGTGATATTTAAATTCATTTACCAAGAAAGCTTGTCAAGAAGAGCAGAACAATTATCTGTAGTGAAGAGACCTGCTGCTCTTGTTCTTGGCTTAGTGTATTAAAATAAATCCTTGTATTCTGGGAGTAATTCTCCAGCTTTGGTACTAATTATGAGAGAAGGCTATCATAGCAAAGCATTTGAAAAGCATTACTAAAGTGTATTTAAACAGAAGGCTGTTTCTTACACATTGATAATGAACCGAGAATTCACCATTAATAAAAGATTCTAACATATAAGGATGAGAATTGTGTCCATCATTAGGATTTATATTGACACACAAGCACATTCATATAACACAAACAAACATGTCTCTCATATAAATGTCCTGGCTCTTCATTTTCCACTCACCATATGGCCAGGGCAATTAGATATTACATGTGGGTTTAAAGAGGCACTGTAAGACATTGCCATGCATAGAAAATTACCCAATGCATAATGTCTAGTAATGGCAAATAACAACTTGAACAAATCTAAACTCGATTTAGCTAATGATCCTGAATCAATTACTGAGTCTTTTTCACCGTGGGCAAAAGGTTTCAAATTTCATAGTGAAAAACATCTAGGACATCACATCAAATGTCACTGTTAGGTTGGATGTGACATACATACATGTGATCAGTGTCTAAGAAAAAAGTTTTTATTCTGCATGTTCTTCAGCTTATATACTCTTAACAAAGCATGATCTTAAGTCATTAACTACATGACAATAACCTATATTAATTGGTGCAAAGCAATTAGTGTCAATATAATTGGTAAAATTTTACAGAAATTTAATAAGGCACATATACACATCTACTTATGCACGTAGTTAGCTTACAAAAAATTTCATGTATCTTTTCTAATTTTTTTCCATCCTGACAGCTTTGTCTTCTTTTTTGCTGTGGACACACTCAAAAATCATCACTTGTTGTATCTTCTATTAACTCAGCTTTGCTTGCAGGCTAGCTGGGGTGGGTAAATAAAAACCTTCTGACTGTGCATGTTCCATTGCAGCTGGGACGTACCCTTCGAAGTCCTTTCATGAAGTTTGTGGCTCATGCAGTTTCCTTCACAATCTTCCTGGGACTGTTAGTGGTGAACGCCTCCGATCGGTTTGAAGGGGTCAAAAACCTCCCCAACGAGACCATCACGGACCATCCAAAGCAAATATTCCGAGTCAAAACAACCCAGTTCTCATGGACAGAATTGCTGATCATGAAGTGGGTATTGGGTAAGTAAAGCCAAAATGTCCACAAGTGCTCTGTGGAAATTCAACATCATTAGGAATGGCATAATACACAGTGGCAAGACAAAGAAAAATTAAAAAAAAAATACAAAACAAAAACAAACAAAAAACCAACCCTCCCACCCCAAAAAAAAACAAAAAATCGACAAAACCCCAAGCTAAACAAACAAAAAGCCCAAACCAAGAAAACTCCCCAAAACTGAAACAACTTACTATGAGTCTAGAGGTTGATGTCAAGACTTTTGATGAAAAGAGGAGTGAAGAAGTCTTTGACCTTGGCCACCACTTTTGAAAACATTGAATGTTGCTTAGCAAGTTCTCATTTACATGATTTTTTCCACTTTTCATCATAAATGCTATAGATGTTGCCTATTTATCTCTGTTGGTTTAATCATTGCATCTTAAAGAAGGTAATATTATAATAGAAACCTGTGGCTTCACTCTGGGACAAAGTGAGCAGAAAGAAGTGTGGTGAGTCTGGCTGATTTATTACCCTGCCATGGGATCCTACTGTAATTCACTGAACCTCAGTGTCTTTGTCTGCAAAATGAGTATAATGTCATTTGCTTTTCTTGTAGTGCACTCCAAGGTCTAGTGATGAAACCTTCTAGGCAAGTAAGAGCTAGATTTTATGAAATCCTTAGTATGAAATTTTTGCTGGTGAGAGGACAGTGCAGTGCTCAAATCTTAGAAAAGAAATTAAGTTATTCAGCAATTACAAAGTAAGGATTCATGTGGGTGAACCCTTTGAGTGTGAAAGTGTGCCACATCCACAAGTCAAATTTCTAAGGAGTTTCAGACAAATTCAGATGTCTCACTTTTCCTACAGGCATCATTTACTCCTGGCAGGTCACTTAGTTTGAACCACTAATCTAAACAAGTTCAGGAGAATTTATTGGGAAATTGAGCTTATCAACTCTGGAGAATCTCTGTCTACCTCTCCTCTATTTTTGTTCACCACCATGATTTTGATTCTCTTCTTGCAGCAAATAATTCCACTGTTCCATAAGTACTCATGGCATTAAATTCCCCTGAAAAATAGGATATGGCTGCTCTATCTGATGACTTCCTGGCCAATGTTTCTTTGTTCCCTGTCCCTGTGATAATCAGAATCCCATACAGGATATTAGGCTAGAAAATACTGAATAGATGCCAGACTGGATAGAGTAAGACTGTAAGATTTATTTTTAAAATTATATTAAAGCAGTTGGACAAGATGATTAGATTTTAAACTAGGTATTCTTTTCTTATAGGCAGTAGGTATCTGTCTGCTTGTTGAGTTCCTGAGAGATGAAGAAAACATTTCATTTAAAGAGAAGGTTTTCACTTTTCTGGGAGTAGAAAGGTGATTCATTGTACAGACTCCTGAATATAATGAGATTTTCTAATGACTGCCTACATCTGCACTCACAATCTTCTCTGGCCATTTTACCTGCTTGCCTCCATAAAGCTTCAAGTAATGTTTCAGCAATACTGAGGTGAAAGTTTGGTGCACATGGCCTGCAGACACCTGCACTTGTTGAGCCCCATGTGTGACCCTGAACTTCAAGGATTGTAAAAGCACTAAGGGTAGCAGCTTTTGGTGCTAAAAACTTACAGATATTATAAATACCTATATGCAAGTAGAAATATAATTGAAGTGGCCAACATAGACCTACCTAGTGTCCTTCTCTGATGGAGTGACTGTGGAAGTGCACAAGGACAAGCTGCAGATGCCATTTAACTGGGCTTCTGGAAAGCCTTTGACATGCATCCCCACAACATCCTTCTCTCTAAATCAGACAGATGGATTTGATGGGTGGACTGATAGATGTGTAAGAAAGCTGCTGAGGGTTGTGTAGGCAGTGGCTCAGAGTCCACTGATGGACACTGGTCACAAGTGTTGTCCCTCAGGGTCTGTACAGGGACCAGTGTTATTTAATACCAACATTAATGACAGAGAGCTCAGGTGCAGCCTTAGTGAGCTGGCAGATGGTAAATGCTGAGGCTGGCACACCTGAAGGATGGGATGAATTGTCCAGACAAGTTTAAGGAATAGTGGGGATCTCATGAGGTTAAACAAGAACAATATCCCCTTTGTGTGTGGTGCACAGAAATTTTGGCTCATGCACCCAGGGCTCATTGCTTGCCTTGGCTGCCTTTTCCCTGTGGCCAGGACTTCCCATCTCTTCCTCTTCAAATGAGGAAGGCTGGCATTTTCCTCATGAGCAGCATGGACAGAAGTGTGCACTGAAAGCAGGGGGTTTATATCTAATCCCCACTGCAAAAGCAGCCAGGGTAGCAGTTAAACTCTGGGTAGATGCAATCTGAGCACTATTAATCTCTTAATCCAACAGCCTTTGGTGGACTCAGGAAGGCTCAAAGGCAGCTCTGCAACATCAGCTGCTCCTGATTTATGTACCAGGCCAGAGCATATAAAAATCTGACAAACTGTTCCTTTTTGTGCACAGGTGGTGAACAGCACTTGCACACTCCCATTTTTCTTCCAGATGGGCTGTGCCTGTATCTTGACTCTCCTTCCCCTGCTGAAACCAGAACTGCCCATCAAGGTGACATTTCTGATTATCCCTGCTGTGGGAACAAGAGGCATGCAGGAGCCTAGGAGCTGCTCACATCCCACATCTCAGAGCATCAAACTCAGGGAAACACCCCCTGCCAGAGCCACTGGGGGCCTCAGAAACCCACACTGCAATGTCATCCTGGCACAGCTGCTTTGTCTAACTACTTCTCCTTATTTCTTACACCTCATCTTATGTCCCATCCCCTGAATTTTAGCTGACTTTTCTCAATACTTTTACTAAAGAGGAGCTTTAAATTACTCCCTCACAATGTATATACAATTACCCAGCAATACTGACCAAGTAATTACTGTAACTTTTCTACTCGTCCTGAACAGACATTTTTAAAAAATGATTGCCACAAATTTGGGTAAAAGAACAGTGGAAATTATAGGCCAATAGCACGTCACTTTCACAGAGGGGTTCTTATTTTAGTCAGACTCCTCCGTTTTAGACACTTCTTCATTAATCTGTGGCTTAGGTATATTAAGTGAGCAAGATTAAAAATAAATTTGGATGGGAATCATTTCTGGTCATCAGTGAACAAGTGCTTGGTTGGGCAATGCTACCATGCATGTGCTATTTCCTTAAGTGCTTTAGTACCTTTATAAAGCACACATGTAATGCACAGGGCTAATGGCTCCCATCCATCATTTCTGGAATGCTTTTTCTTCAAGGTGGAAATGTGTCTTTAATATTTCATCCTTGCTCCAGGAAAATTCCTGAGAAACCAATTCTTCCACCTTCTCCCTTAGGCTATTTATTATTAAATCTCACTCATGGTGTGGGATGAAGCTCCTGCTTTTACACAGCCAAGCACCATGGAGGAGGAGAGCTGGGAGGCTCCTCTCCTGCCCTCTGCCCGGCATCCTGCAGGTCTCAGGCTCTCTCCCAGGACAGACCTAAATCAGGGCACATCTCCAGGGAGTTCCCAGGGCTGTGGAGCTCACAGGCTCGCTGTGACCTTGGCTGATGGGGCTATGGAGAGCTCAGCTTTCCTTTTTCTCTTTCAATCCTTCCCCCTGCGCAAGGACCGAGAGCAGCAGCTCTCCTCTCCTCCACCTCAGGCTAAATTCCCAGTGACCTGTTTCCCTCTCTGTAACCCCAGTGCACCCCTGGGGACACCCCAGGAGCTTCAGAAGGAGCCAAGCAAAAGCATTTACATGCCACACCACGAGAGCTTCCAGCAGAGAGGATGAGAGGAGTTCACAGAGAGGAGAAGATTGCAGGAGGTCACATGGAAATTGGCAGGCGCTGCTCCTCCTTGATTAAATGTGAATTTTGCTGCTGCTATGGAAACAGGACTGGGTAGAGCGCAGGAAATATTTATCAGTGGGTTAAATATTCCAACAATTTAGCTATTCAGGAGCAAGATTTCGGCCCTGGAGCCCTGCTGGGATTGAAAGTTGGGCAAATTGGTGAATCTGACCTGAGTTCTTTGACTGAATTCACTTGTCCACTCCAGCTCTTCCCAGTGGGACATGGATGTCAAATATTTGAATTCACTGGGTTTGGCAGGTTTATTTTTAAGTCTGTTGTCAGAAATCATAAATTCGGGCTAAACTCAGTGTTTCCAAAGTGGTGGTTCAGACTTTAATATATAGAAATTCATTATTTAATACAGAAAGCTTTATGAAATTGTAAGGAAAGAATTTCTGTCTTACCCTTTTTTAATCATACTAAACTTACTATTGAACAGTTCTGTTTGCACTCTCAAAATGGACACAGCCACTATCTTAGGGAAGGAGGAAAAGAGCAGCAGAGCAAGCAGAGCCATCTCCAGTGCCACGGTGTAGGAAGGGTATTCTGGGGACAAGAGAGGAAATCTACATTTTTTCCAACTGCATCAGGAGTAGAATTTTCTAGTGTCATCAGAATTTCCGAATGGTGCTTTTTCTGTAGTCATCATCAGAAATCAGCTTTTCCATTGACTTATATAGTGACATTTTGAGATTTCTGCATCATAAGCACAAAAGGTTGTATTAATTTTTAAGAAAAGATGACATGAGCCATTCTCAATTCATTTGTTTAATTAAAGTCTTTTGCTTTGATCTTAAAAGCCACTGCAAGCAGGAAGCAAACAGATCTGTCTGAATAGAGGAACAGGTCCTGTGTTTGTTAGTTAAAGATGCTCTGATCCCTCCACAGGTATGATATGGTCAGAGTGCAAGGAGATCTGGGAGGAGGGTCCACGTGAATATGTGGTGCATCTCTGGAACCTGCTGGACTTTGGGATGCTGTCCATCTTTGTGGCATCATTCACTGCCAGGTTAATGGCTTTCCTCAAAGCCTCTGAGGCACAACAGTACGTAGATCAGTACGTTCAGGATGATGACCTCAATAATGTCACCCTTCCCCCTGAAGTTGCTTACTTTACCTATGGTAAGATGCTTTTTGCTATCTAATATTTCCTGTTCTTTTAAGTTAATGTGTGGCAGTACTGAAAGCAGCTTTCTTTTTGTGATGTTTATATAGTTTTCTTCTAAATAAACCAAATTATCTTCCCTAGATCTACCCATTCCAGCCATCTTCCTAACCAGTCAGAAAGCACCCAAACCTTATTCAGCCTCTGCTCTTGTGCTACAGCTACATTCAGGTCAATCACATGCTGAAAATGTAGCTTGAGCAACAGGTAATCAGGAACTCTGAGTGAGCAGAATAGAATTTAAATTACAGATGAATTAATCTGCTTGGCTTTCCAAATGAGGGAGGAGGGAAATGTGTGAACAAACACAGGATCTGAGGCTGCAGTAACTCTGCATTTCTGTTACATCCAACACCTCTACAAAAATAAATAAGAATAGCAATAAAAATAGCTGCTGCTCATCAAAACCTACATTTTTGTAGAGCCTGTATCATCTATAAGTGCTGACATTGGGAAATGCAAGCCACAGCAGTGCCTTGAAAATGTTCTTTTGGATGGCTGAAATGGTTTTCCTTTGCTATACAGAAATGAACAGAGCTTCACACACGTGTGGGGACTGGAGACACTGCACACCTCTACCAGCTCTAGATGGCACCTGGGCAAAACCCATGGGGATTTTTGCTCACAGGGGGCTGCAGAAGCTCCAGAACTGGGCACTAAGGAGCACCAGTGGCTCCCTAGGTGTTCTGCTGGTTGTTCTGGTGCTGCGCTTGGGCAGGAGAGGAGAGCTGGGCCAGCACTTCCTCCACTTAGACCCACAGAGCCCCAGAGCCACGGGCCTGAGCCAGAGCAGTTCCACAGGGCCTGGGGGGCCCCAGCAGCTCAGCCTCTTGCACCCCTCCCTGCCCACGCAAGCCAAGAGCCACGGAGATGGGGTTGTGGCTTTTCCCTCTCTGCCTTGCTGCTCACCCATTTAAAGTGAGTTCATGACACAAAGGTGCAAAGGGTCCAGAACAGAATATCCCAACAAGATCCTGTGAATTCCTCCATCTGCTGCTTTTCCTTTGGTTCAGATTACTGCAAATAATGCCTAAGTTTAGTGCTGTGGCCCTGAAGATGTCACATGTTTTAATGTGAGTCTCAATCTTTCCATCAAGAACCTGAGGGGATGCAAGGACACTTATAAGCCATGTTAATATAAATGTTTACATTTCAGCAGATTAGGTAAATGATGCATATTTGGGGCTTTCTATAATAGAAATATTAGAGTAACTAGACTTCAGAAACCGGTTTTAATATAGAGATAATATGAAAATGGTACACAATGTTTATACCTGCTTTATCTAAACAAATCCTAACTTTCTTATCTAATGGTGGGGATAGAAGATCTTGTTCTCCCTAATGCTTCCTTTCCAAATACTGACACAGTGCCCTGTATCCAAATCTACAGCTGTACTCCACTGTGTTGTGGTTTTGGTTCTCCATCTCAAGAGCTTCAATTGGAGAAAGCACAGCACAGTTAATATTCAACTAGGAAACAGAAAATAATCGAGTTTGTTTAAAGCCATGCTGGTTTTTTTTCACTGTGTGGCTTCAGTAAATCCCAGTGATTTGGCAATTTCCTGCCTTTACCATGTGAAAAATACAACTAATTCACCATATTTGTACAGCATGTTGTGGTCCAGTGTACAGTTACCCCAAAGTTGTTTTTTTTTCCTGTTTAACTCCCACCCGAATGCAAGACTGAGTCTGGAAAAGGGTCATTTATCATAGCAGCTTCCACCTAACCCTTTTTGTTACTAACACCCAGTGTACATGTATTGTTTTAGCCAGGAACAAGTGGCTCCCCTCGGATCCCCAGATCATTTCAGAAGGCCTGTATGCCATAGCTGTGGTACTCAGCTTCTCCCGCATTGCTTACATTCTTCCAGCCAACGAAAGCTTCGGCCCCCTGCAGATCTCTCTGGGCAGGACCGTGAAGGACATCTTCAAGTTCATGGTCATCTTCATCATGGTGTTCCTAGCCTTCATGATTGGGATGTTCAACCTTTACTCTTACTACCTTGGTGCAAAGTACAACCCCGCGTTTACAACGTGAGTACCCGCGGGACGAGGCTGCTCTGCAGGGCTGGCCCCCCTGGCCCTCGGCTCAGGGGCTTCCTGCTGCAGCTCTGGGGGGAAATCACACCCAGGTTTTGACAGGGAAACTGGTACCACTGATTTATTAAAAAATATGGGTGTTGATCTAGTACCGATATCCAGCTGCGACGGACAAAGACTCTCTAACAGTTTAAAGTTAGAAAGTGTGTTTTTAATGTAGGATAGCTCCCAAATCCACACTGCAATTTACAGGTGATTACAGAGTCCTTTTATCTATACAGGTATTGAATACCCAGAATACAAATGCATATTCATCACCTTGGTACATCCCATTCCCTGCTTCATATGGTAATTAGTTCAAAAGCCATTAAGCATTTTATTAAGCGTATTAAGTGTAGTTTGTTCCTTGAAATGGGTTGCTGGTCCCTTTCATGGGGAGGGGTCCCAAAATGAGGAAGTAAATGAAGTCTTCCTCGTTCTGACCTTTCTACCTTTTCAATGCAAATATGACAAATGAACCCTTGGTAGAACTCCCATTCCCTGTCTCCAATTGGTTTCAGAACAGAGGAGGCCTACAATTGTCTTATGTTCCTAAAAGCTATTTATCAGTTTCTATATTCTTCATTATAAACCCAGCTAACCAAACATTGTGTTGACAAGCAATGAATTATGAGTTAACTACTAACTCTTAACTTCATCAAGGCCTACCCATTTATTTTAATTAACTCCAATAAAGCTTATCTCTAACTAAAATCTTAGCTCCTCTGAAATCTCTAAATTCCTTAAAGTTTATGTCTCACCACAGCCTGCAGCCCTGGCAGCCAGCTCTAGGCCTGAGTGTAGGGAGAGGAGCAGTTCAGATCTGGTTATTTCTGGAAATCACACATCTGGAAATGTTTGTGAGATGTTCAGTTCGATGTGTCAAGAGAAGCAGTGGAAAAGTTAAACCTAAGATTAATGTTCTTAAATCTGTGAGATGAAATGTATGTAAAATAAGGAAGGCTTTTTCTTCTCTGAGAGCCAGCATTGTGGGTTCAATTCCCATAGAGGCCACTCATTTAAGAGCTGGACTCAATGGTCCTTGGGGGTCCCTTCCACCTGTAATTGTGTGACCTGTTTTAGGACATCATCCCAGTGCAGCTGTGATTATCGGGTGCCCTTCTGCAGAGCCAGCTGCTGGCCATGGTGCTCAAAACAGAGCAAAACCACCCAGGGTGCCTGGGATGTGGGGCTCAAGTCCTGGCTGGGAACTTTTCAGCAGAAGCCATCTGAAAGCTGCACAGAGCATCCCACCAGGCTGCTCCCCACAGTGGCTCTGCCTGGCCACGCTCCCCTGCCAGCACTCCCAGCCCTGCAGAGCTGCCTGTGCTCAGGGTCCCTCCTTCACCTTGTCAGGGATGCTGGGAAGAGAAGGAGGTTGTTGCAAATGCCAATGGAATGAGGTTCAGGGTGAGGCTGCTTTTGAACTTAGAGCCCTTTGGTGGGGTGGTGTTCACAGGGGTTCCAGGATGAGGGAAGAGACAAGAATCTTGACTCCATGTTTCAGAAGGCTGATTTATTATTTTATGATATATATTATATTAAAAGAAAATGATATATTAAAACTATACTAAAAAAATAGAAGAAAGGATTTCATCAGAAGGCTTGAAAGGAAAGGGAAGAATGGAATGATAACAAAAGCTTGTGACTCTCAGAGAGTCTGAGCCAGCTGTGACTGGCCTTTAATTGGAAACAACCACATGAGACCAATCAAAGATGCACCTGTTGCATTCCACAGCAGCAGATAATTATTGTTTTTCTTTTCCTCTGAGGCTTCTCAACTTCTCGGGAGAAAAATCCTAGCGAAGGGATTTTTCAGAAAATATCATGGCTACACTTTGGTGGCAAGGCAAAATGCAGTCTGGATTCTACAGGACCCAGGAACACAAGTCCCAGTTCTGTAGGGGACAGCTGAGGTCCTGAAGGAGTTTCCAGAGCAGGGAACAGTCCTGTTGAGTATGAGGGATGTGTCCCATGCATCCAGGGGGAAGCCTCCTCCCTCTCTGCAATGTGGCACCAGCACAGCATGGGACAGCCTGTTTTGTGTCACAAATCCACCTTGACTTGCCTTAGGGACACAGTGGGGAGGGTTTTCCTTCCCTCACACCTGTCTTGGCATGATGTTTTCCTCCTGCTGTGAGCTGACTTCCAGGAAACCACTCCAAAGCCATAGAGCCTGAGCCCACAGTGGTGACTGTGAGCACAGCAGACATTTGATGCTGCATTTGATGTGTCAGTCCTGGGACGTGTTACACATGAGCCTGGGGCTAAGCTCATCACTCCTCTTGGAGAAATTACTTTTCCAGCATCATTTCTGTCCTGCAAGTTGCTGTTGCCTTACAGTTTTACCACACCACCCTCTTGTGCCACATGTAACCTGTAACACAATGTTTACTTTCCCCTGTTGAGCCAAATTTGCATTCTAGACCTCTCCTGGAGCCTCAGGGTGCATTTTAGTGGAAGGATTTATGAGACCAGATACATTTACATTTATCTGTGCTCAGTAGTTGGGGAGAACTGAGTGTGTGGGATGTGACTTGCTTCAGACTCGAAAAGGAGATGCCCTTGAAGCACAAGATTTAGTGAGAATCAAGGCTGTATCACCTCTGGCTGCCTGGTGGCACAGCAGCCCTCACTTGTGGCATCCCCCAGGCACATCCCTGGAGAACAGCACTGACAAATTCCAGCCACTGGTGCAACTCAGCCCAGTAGCTCTCTTATTAGCACTCATTATCTAAGTGCATCTTCCAGTAGTTTGCAGCAGTGCGACTCCATTGTCAGCGTCCGTCTGGCTCCCAGCACTGCCAGCAGCACGGGGGGCCCTTCTCCCGACAGCTGCCTTCGGGATAGTGCTTAAGGCAGTGCCCAGCTTGCGGCTGCAGGCACACCTTGGGCAGGACGGAGTCTGGTAAAGGCTGCAGCCAGCGGAAAGAAGAGGGCGGACTCAAACTGCGGCTTAAGCCGGGCTTTAATGAACCCCAGCGGGACCGACAGGAGAAGACGAGGGTGGGGCTGACAGCAAGTTTTAAGGGGTAGGGAGAACAAGGGAGGTGCCAGGCATTGGGCCAATGGGGGTACAGTGGGGAGTGGAGTCCAAGGGATTGACACCTGAGCAGCACCAACGGGGAACATTCTGGGGAGGGGCCCCGGTTCCTCAGCCAACCATCGAACTCCCCTGCTGGAACATTCTAGCAGTAAGGGCGGGGAGTGAGAGTGATTGGCGGGGCACTGGGGAGGGGTCAGAAGAAAAGATCCAAGGGTTTCCAGGGAAACCGGGGCGGAGTTTAGGGGATACATTGGCTGGGGTGGAGCCAGGGAGACAGACAGCTCCAAAGGCGGGAAGGGAGAACTGGGGCAGAACCATTTTCAGACAGAAGGGGGAGTGGAACAAACCAACCTAATAACTTAACAAAACACACTGCAACAGTAGTTACTGTCTTTTGATTGAAATAATGATCAAACATTCACTAAAATGATGACTGCTCACTGGAGTAAAGATTGCTTTGGATGCCCAAGGGATATTTGGACTGGGGAGACATCCTCCTTAACTTCAGCCTGCTGACTACTTATCCTGGGGCAACTTCATGTTCTTACAAAGCAAATCTTCCATGAGCATAAATTTTCCTTTCAAGAATTTGGAAGAGCCTTTAAAAATACTTACTTTCTTCTGATTATTTAAACACACAGGAGTGGCAAATGATGATCAGTGGAAACGAGCCCTTTCATCATGTGAAACAAAGAGAATAGATTTACATTCGTTCCAAAAATCCTTCTTAGACATTCCATGCAACAAACTAGAAGGCCTGAGGTAGACAGCCTCAAACAATTTTAATAGGAAAATTGCAAGGTTGTTTTGGCAGATGGGCAGACACCAGTTGTAGCAATTCCTCCTGCTCTAGTTTGCGTGGCTGCTTGTTGGCCTTGCTGAAGGTGATGGTCTCCTGATGCCATCAGCTTACTCATGGAAAGGAGGAAGATTTCAGTATTGGAGCTTGGCTATTGCAGCTGTCCATTCCCTGAAAAATCCCTGGGGCAAAAAGGGGTCATGCTTCCTTTGGTGTCCTCATAACCCTTCTGTGACTGCAGCAGCATCACAGAAGGCATCTCCTGGGAGCACGTTTGTGAATTCTGATGAGGATAGGTGAAATTTTAGAGCGAGTTTTGCAGTCAGAAATGTGAATATTTAACTCTGATTCTCAGAGGTCACTTGGACAGTTGTGACAGAAAAAGACCCACTGGATTTGTGCCCATAATTGACCGTGGGCAGTTCCAAACAGCATTGGCAGCTCCCTGGATTGCCTCAGTGGGAAGCCTTAGACAAACAGCTGCTCACTAAAATACTTCAAATTACACATTTAAAAAAAGCACACCTTCCCAGGGCAGTATGTAAGCAGAAAAAAGAGTGTACACTGAGGGAATTGCTTGCTTAGTTCTAATGATAATAGTTAGTGAATATTTGGTTTAACTTTCACCCTCCCTTTCTACTGTACTTTGAAATTGTGTACTCAATTTCTTCTCTGTTCATCTACAGAGCAAGCACATAGCACCCCAGTGGCCTCTGCTTTGGGTTATTATACAAGGTTTCTGTCATTTCTCTCCTTTTGATGTTCTGGAAGCAAATGAAATAAGGATGCAGTTGTCTTTACTCCACACTAGTTAAATATAGAAATTATTTAACTAAATACACTTTCAAAAATTTTTGGAAGTTCTTCAATGCTGAAGAGCAGATCATTTCCACAGCAGTTGCCACCACACCAGCTATGTTTATCTGTTTATCAGATGCTGTGTACAGCACACAGCTCTTGAAACAGCCTGTAATTAAGAACATGCTATGCAAACAAAATCGAAATGGAGGCAAGGCTGATTGTGTTCATCTTGCTTTCTGCATCAGAAATCAGGCTGAAGGCTACAAGGCAAGGTTTTCTGTCTCACTCTCCCCAAAGGGGAATGTGACTCACTGCTCAGTGCCAAAGCTACTTTGAGGCTTGGAGGCTTTTTTCTACTTGTTTTGTTTTGTCAAAATGTGATAGTTTTGTAGATTGCATTGACTGTGTTGCTTTTTTGGCAGAGTTAGTTCTCAAATTCATTTAAGGAGATAAATCTGAAAGGATGCCTTAAGGTTTCCTAAAGAGGAGGGCACAAGACTGATATGAAATGAGAGCCTTGCCATGATCCTTTTTCATGAACAGCACACTGCTGTATACAAAAGTGAGGAAAATCTGCAAATAAATAATTGGCTATGCTCTGTTAGGAAGCGTCACCTTCCTCAGTGCAAAATCTTTAAATTTTACTGCAATAAATATAATGAAACAAACAGACAAACAATCTCTGTGGTCTCCCCAGTGCAGTCAGTTCTAGCACAGTAGAGGGTGATTGCTGCAGAGCCACCTCCACAGGGAGCATCTGCCAATCTGTCACTGCCAGACCCCCCTGCTGCCAGGAGCTGTCAGTCTGGGCAGGACTCCTGACTTCCTAAATCCTTCATTTGTTTGCCTTTGAGAAGGATAAAACACCTGCTGACCTTGTAGGAAGGGGGTAAATTGCTTAGCTGGCAACAAGGAGACACATTGGCATCTTGGAATCTTTGAGAACTTGGCTCCCAACGTCCTCCTCTCATGTTTTAGTGAGATGTTCTTGAAAAAAAAAAAAAACCACAACAAAACAAAAAGCCCAACTGATGTTCCCTGCAACCTGTGCCAAATCTCGTGCAACCTGGCAATGATCTAAAAGGGAGAAGGAAAGAGTCATCCAGCCTTTGGGAAGGGTAGGGATGGACTAGTACAATGTCTCCTTAAATCATTTCCTCTGACAGAGAGACCTGCATCTGCCTGGGGGCACTGATAAACATCATTTTGGGGCTACAGGTTGGGTCAGCCTCTCCAGCAGCCTCCCAGTCCCACCACCACGGGCACTGGTCCCTTGCCTGACACTGGAAATCAGGTTTATGGAGATGACAGAGGAACCTGGCAGCCCACCCTTCCCTCTGGGGCTCAGGGTGGTCAAGGCTGCTCACAGCTCTCAATTTACTTTTCAAGGAGAATCTGGCACTGCTCGAGTATAGAGGTCAATGCTCAAGCTGCAGAAAAGGAGCCGAGCTGACACATTGTATTAAAACCTGCCAGCAGGGTGGAAAACTGAGGGAACCTTTCTAAATTAAAAAGGAAAGTTAATAGCAGGGTGCAGCTGGGCTCGGGGCTGGAGTTATGGTTTTTATTAGTCTGGGAAATCACCTCGGTGGTGGGTTCCAATGCCAAAGATCATTGGTGTAATAAACTGGAAAGCACAACATCTATTGAAGGAGCAGTGGCCAGATTGCCACTGCACAGTGCAGGGAGTCTGACACAGTAATGCCAGGTCAGCTCTGCTGCAGGTGAGGGCAGCAGAACAGAGCAGGGTGTTCCAGGAGAGGAAAAGCAGGTGGAAAAGTGATGGCACCTGAGTGCAGCATGGTCAGAACCCCCCCAGGGGTATCTCTGCAGCCCTGCAAAGCAGCAGGGTCAGGGAGTGGGCATCAGTGACTCTGGGGATCCGGGAACATTTATTTGTGCAACATTTATTTGAAGCATCACTCAAGGTCAGTCCCCACAAAACAATATACAGAGTAAATATTACACTATTTACTGCAGTTTTACTACTACTTGTAAATGAGCTATGGAGTACAAATTATGATGATAATTAAAAAGCAGTTTGCTGCAGCAGAAAGGAGCTGTCCGGGAATTCTGCACCAGCCTTTCAAAGGGTTGAAATTAATTTCTCTTGCTTTTATGAATGGTGTAATTGACACTGGAATTGATGTAATGTTTATTTTTCCTGTTGAATATGCCATGGTTTGTGTCTATAAGCTGTTTCTATAAACAGATTTAGCAGGATTAGTAAGATGCTACCCTAGTAAGAAAAATTTCATCAAAATAATTTTTATGGCAATGTTTCATTTGAAGGTGCTCCTTCCTGGCAGGCAGGAGGAGAAAGGAGGCAATTAACTGTTAACAGGCTCAGCAAAGGCAAAATGCCTTCTAAGTTAAATATTAGGCAAAATGCTTTCAAAATGTGCCAGCATCCCTCCTCCTCCTCCTCCTTCTGTCCTTTTCAGTTGTTGCTGCTCCCCTCCCTTGTTACTGCCCCAGCTCCTTGTATCAGACTCTCCTTCTGACCTGTTAGTCCAGCTTCATTCTTTCCAGCCCCACTTCTCTTTGTCATTGGCTTATTCCCCTTTTCCCTATCTTTCAAACTTTTAATTTTCCTCTTGCTCCTTTCTACTTTCAAGCAAGGATAATAATCAAATCAAAATGCTTCTCTGCAACATCTTCTACCACTCCTTAAATCCAATTTCTTCCTACGAATGCTTGGGTGTCTGACATGTTTGGAGTCCCAAAGCAGGGTGGGAAGAAAATCAGACTATGGGAAAAAAATCAGACTATATTTGCACTCTGTGTTCTTTATATTAATGCCACAATGCAGAACTTTTCAATCCTTTCTCCTGGGTAAAAGACATGCTTCTCTTCTGCCCTGGAAACTGCAGAGAAGGAGGTCAGACTTGGTTCTGTCTTCTTGGGATGAAACAAGAGTGAGTGAGTGAGTAGAAGCAAAAGCCCTATATAAAAAGTTTCAAACTGCAAGTTGCCCATGGATTTTTCATCCCTATTAGGGACACAAAATCCAAGTGTAATGCACCTGATAAGAACAGATGGAGCAAATCAGGGCACTCTGTAACTTTGTAGTATTAATCAGAAATCATATTTCTTTATCAAATCAGGAAATGTGATTTGGCACATCCCTGGGTGATGGATAATGGGTTGCAATAACTGTGCCAAGATATATTTATATTTGTGGATTGCTGCTTTTATTATCAGCATGTGGCCTGGCTAACCCAGTGTCAACTCTATTAAGAGATTGTTTGTTTTATTTTTAGGGTAGAAGAAAGTTTTAAAACCTTATTCTGGTCAATATTTGGCTTATCTGAAGTGATATCTGTGGTGCTGAAGTATGACCATAAATTCATTGAGAATATTGGATATGTACTCTATGGAGTATATAACGTGACTATGGTGGTTGTGCTGCTTAATATGTTAATAGCCATGATCAACAACTCCTATCAGGAAATTGAGGTAAGATAAATCAGATTACAAACACAAACTTAATTATTACTGATAATGAAGATGCTAAAAACCCAAGGAGGCTGTAGTTTACTTTACATCCAAGGTTAGAATCCTGAAAACATCATATGTGGTACAACAGTTAAGGCTGAGTCTGTCCCCAAATTAAGATTTAATGAATATTAAACAATTAATCATTTCTATAACTATTTCAGCTTCCTTGTTTTTAATGACCCTCTGTGAGTAAACCAAACTTCCTTAACAGGTAATTAATAAAAGTGGGTTTTGATATCTTTTATTTCTTTTCTTGATTATGATAATTTATCCATGTGTGTTGCCTTAGCTGCATTGCTTGCTTATGACAGAGTAATATTTCTTCTGACTTTTTGCCCTGTTCTCTACTGCTTAAACACTCCAGCCCATGTAGATATGAAACACATGTGCATCCATGAAAATGTTTAGAAATTCCATATTGTCCAATTACCAGGCATAAAACTTGACACAATTTTTTTGAAAAGTCATTAGGGTCTGCAAAACATGACTTTGTGGACATTTACAAAAAACGTCTTTTGAAGCACATAAACAGAGCCCTCAAGGAATATTAATAGGTTTCTGCAGAAAGGCATTTGCAGGGTTTACCCAGCCCTGTTCAGTAGTGTGGCTATTAGCAGAGTGGATTTGCTAAATGCTTTGGACATAAACAACTCTCTGCTAATCTAAATAAAGGCAGAAAAAAATACATTATTTGGATAATGTTAATGGTGAGTCACCTTTTACTTCTGATTTGTTAAATGTCAAACTTCTGCAGTTGGGTTTGTAGTAATTACTTGTCCTAATCTCCCCTCAAAACCTGACATTGAAAAAGGCCAGGGCTGAAAATATTTTCTCACTGTAATGTTGGATTCATCCATGAACCGTAGTACAAATATAACTCTATCCTGTGCATGCTGTAACTGAGTCTAAATGTCAGAGAGACCTTACACATGCTCTCTGCCCCAGAACCTTTCAGGACTGCAGAAAGCAGAGTCATTTCTCCAAAGGTTTCTAATCATATAGGATCAAGCAATTCCCTGAGTCCTATTCACCTGAAACGAGTTTTACTTCAGAAGTGGTCTCAGCCTCTTACTGCATTTTCCAGTTTATTGTAGTAGACAGAGATGCTCTTAAAAAAAAAAAAGGTCTCTGAAAATATCTGAAGAGATGGCCTATATTAACTTTCCAGTTTAAACTTTGTGAAAGCCATTTTCTTGGAAAAATGGTTTGTCATCCTTCTTGATGGCATGGAAAGTTTGGAAAGTTTGTTAAAGATTACTTGTAACTATCAGCAAGCAAAGAAAGTGTGAGTGTTTGGCCCAGATCCTTCTAATTGAAGAAAAACTAGTTCTTCTCCTAGTAATTCATTTAAGTACTCACTAGTGTGACATTTTGAGACCTCTCTGTGAATCTCTGTGAAGATTAAAGAGAGTTGTAGAATCTGAGCCATATAGGTTGGAAAATCCTATGAGCATTCACCCAGGTGGCCAAGGCCACCACCAAACCATGTCTCCAGGTGCCACATTGACACATCTTTCAGTATCCCCAGGGGTGGTGACTGACTGCAGAGGAAGTCCCTATTGCCAAAGTGTTTGTCTGACCAGAGCAATGTCAGTAATGTCCTGGGATGGACATTACTGAAGAATTAAATTCCATTATGGTCAGTGAGCAGATGGTTTGCTATTAGCTGCAGTGACAAGACCATATTTTCTTTTTAGACCTTCCATTTAACATCTCTCTTTGCTGCTTCTGGTTTTCCTGCGTTTATGCCTCAAGTATTGGTGCTTCCTGACAAATCTGGATTTATGGAAAGAAATCCTTTTGCTAGCCACAGAAGAGAACTACTCCCATCAGTAATACCTTTAACTGCTTAACAGAAAGGCATTAGAACTCTTCATTAGATGTTTGTTCTGTAATTCACCTAAAGAATTCTGTGAGGTGCAACCCCAAACCATGAGAACAGCAAATGGCAGAAGGGAATGCTGCTGCTCTGGAGAAGACACATTGCTGTAGCTGTGGCAGAATTCATCTCCATGGTGTCATGGCAGTTCCTGAGCAGGTTCCAGAGGTTCAGGATAATCAGAGGGTATGAATTCCAGCAGAACACAGATGTACAGGGAGCTGGCAGATCCACACCTCTGCTGCTCCTTCTGCCCTCCATGTAAAGCACAATGAACACAGTATACAGCAGCTGTATCTGATCATTTCTTCTGCCTGATAAATGCTTCTGGTTCATGGCCCTGATCATCCTCCTGTATAAATGCCAAGTGAACGATTTCCTCCATAAAATATTTGCTAACCTTGCCCTTGTTACTTGGAAGTGATCCTAGCCCACTTTGACAATTCATAAAGGACATTCACAGACACTGAATGACAAGGTTTTGACAAGCTCATGGTAACCTGTCACCTTCATCAGTGACAGGAGGTGAACAGTAGGAGAATTAAGGTGTTTAGGGATACATGGTGGTGAATACAGACAGGACCCAAGAGGAAATCAGCTGATGATAGAAGAATGCTCATCCAGCAGTGTCTGAGCCTCCCTGAGGGGATTCCTGGCCAGAGCAGTGGTAACAGATGGCACAGAGCACTGCAGTTCATCACAGACAGTCTTTGCTGTTGTTGTGCTCATAAAAATTTTTTCTGCTTTCCATGTCTCTATATTCTGACACATTCATTTGTCAGCATAGCAAAAAAACAGATTGTTACTGAGACAACCCTTTGATATACAAGGAAATAGTCTAATATTTGGAACACACATACACTCTGTTTATGCATAATTTTGTTTAAATTTTCCTTGTTTTGAAATCACCACAGAGAAGCCTGCAAATACACATTTTGTGCAGGGGCCTTGTTCTGGGAGGCAGAATTTGGTTGCAGCTAACTCCTACCTGTATGTTTGTCCTGGTCAGAGCTACATTCCTTTCTATTTACTAATTTGGATGTTGATTTGTTTTTCCTTCTTCCCTTCCTAAGGAGGATGCAGATGTGGAGTGGAAGTTTGCACGTGCCAAGCTCTGGCTATCCTACTTTGATGAAGGAAGGACTTTACCTGCTCCTTTTAATCTAGTGCCAAGCCCTAAATCATTTTATTATCTCATACTGAGAATAAAAATGTGCCTCATAAAACTCTGCAAATCTAAGGCCAAAAACTGTGAAAATGACCTTGAGATGGGGATGCTGAACTCCAAAAAACGGGTATGTTTTATCTGCACTTTTCAGCTTCTTTGTGGAAAGGATTCATGCCAGGGAGCTTCTGGAGGGGGCTGGAGGGTACACAGGGACAGTGAGGACAGCACAGCCTCTCACAGGACTTCACCACTGCACGTTGTTCTATCATATTGCAAGCAGAGGGCCCTCCCAAAGGTGTGGCCTCATTGCACCAGGCACCAGGGAAAGGGCGATTTTTGTAAAAGCAGGCACTTTTTAACTTTTATAAAAGCCAGAACTTTTTAACTTTTATAAAAGCAGGCACTCCAAGGCCAAATAAGCAAGGTCAGAGAGAGGGGCAGAAGCAGAGGCACAAAGAGGTTCACAACTTGTCTGGCTCAGGACCATTGTTCCAGGCTCTCCCAGCTGAGCTGTGTGACACTGCCCAGGGAGGGGACAACAGGGTGGCACTCTCCAGCTGAGATGTGTGCAGGCCACCCACAGCTATAACCTTGGAAGGAAGACTGAGGAGAAGGGAAGGGAAGCTGGAGGAGGCTTTGCAGAATTTGCCTTTGGGATATGTAGGCTTTAAGATCTGCCTGGATCTCTTGGAGGAGCAAGCAGAGCCCTCCAGCTCATGGTGAACCCTCCTGCTCATGGTGAACCATCCAGCTCATGGTGAGCCATCCAGCTCATGGTGAACCCTCCTGCTCATGGTGAACCCTCCAGCTCATGGGAACCATCCAGCTCATGGTGAACCATCCAGCTCATGGTGAACCATCCAGCTCATGGTGAACCATCCAGCTCATGGTGAACCCTACTGCTCATGGTGAACCATCCAGCTCATGGTGACTATCCAGCTCATGGTGAACCATCCAGCTCATGGTGACCATCCAGCTCATGGTGAACCATCCAGCTCATGGTGAACCCTACTGCTCATGGTGAACCATCCAGCTCATGGTGAACCATCCAGCTCATGGTAACCATCCAGCTCATGGTGACCATCCAGCTCATGGTGAGCCCTCCAGCTCATGGTAACCATCCAGCTCATGGTAACCATCCAGCTCATGGTGACCATCCAGCTCATGGTAACCATCCAGCTCATGGTGAACCCTACTGCTCATGGTGAACCATCCAGCTCATGGTGAGCCATCCAGCTCATGGTAACCATCCAGCTCATGGTGAGCCATCCAGCTCATGGTGAACCATCCAGCTCATGGTAACCATCCAGCTCATGGTGAACCATCCAGCTCATGGTGACCATCCAGCTCATGGTAACCATCCAGCTCATGGTGAACCATCCAGCTCATGGTGACCATCCAGCTCATGGTGAACCATCCAGCTCATGGTGACCATCCAGCTCATGGTGAGCCATCCAGCTCATGGTGAACCATCCAGCTCATGGTGAACCCTACTGCTCATGGTGAACCATCCAGCTCATGGTGAACCATCCAGCTCATGGTAACCATCCAGTTCATGGTGAGCCATCCAGCTCATGGTGAGCCCTCCAGCTCATGGTAACCATCCAGCTCATGGTGAGCCCTCCAGCTCATGGTAACCATCCAGCTCATGGTGAGCCCTCCTGCTCATGGTGAGCCCTCCTGCTCATGGTGAACCATCCAGCTCATGGTGAACCATCCAGCTCATGGTAACCATCCAGCTCATGGTGAACCATCCAGCTCATGGGAACCATCCAGCTCATGGTGACCATCCAGCTCATGGTGAACCATCCAGCTCATGGTGACCATCCAGCTCATGGTGAGCCATCCAGGTCCAGGCAAAGCCCACAGCCTCCAAAGAGGATCATCCTCCCAGGAGTTTGAGAGAGCTGCTCAGGTCTGGTGCTCACCCACTCTCTGCCAGCACCTAAATTGAAGGGAGAAGTCTGTCCATGGGGTTTACTCTGTATTATCAAATAATTTAACCATCAACATGGGGAGCATTGCTGAGATAGACAAGCATGTCTACAAATTCATTTAACACTGCTATTGATTACTGGAAGAACCACTAGAACAGTGGAGTCTCAAAATGAAAGAAGTGTTTCTCCTTCAAATAATGATTTTTAAATGATTTTAAAATGTTACTTGAATCAGACTGCACTAAGCTCGCTTTGTTTGAAATTTAATTTCTGCTTCAAAGCCTAAAACAAAGTAATAAAATTTTCTCTAAGCCTCTGCTTCCCCAAGCCTGATGAGGGAAAGTGTCTGGCTTGCCCTTTTTCATGGAACTCATGCAAAATTCATATTTTCCATGGCTTTAGCATAAACAATTAAGAATATCAGTCATTTCTTGCTTGCCTATTGATTTTGTTCACGTATCATCTTCAAGAGTCTCTAAGTTCATGATACACCTGATGAATAAGAAAGAAATTTTTTAAAAATTACACTATTATTTCAGATTTTCAATCATTATAAACATCCTGATTTGAAAGAAAAAAAATAAATCAGGATCTCTGGCTCAACCATGGAAGAAAAGCCCTTATCCAGGGCCTCTCCTCTACACAGAATTGCATATAGGTGCAGAAGTCTATGATATTTATTCCTTGAATAAGTGACTTTTTTTTTGTTAGTATTGGATCAAAAACCTCAGAGGTGGATTACAGTCAAAGAAATCTCCAACAAATTTTATGTGTAGTGTCCAGAAAAGTCTCCTTGGAAGCTTCTAGAGCTGTCATGCCTCTGATAAAAATGAAATTGTCTGTTTAAGAAATGCATCTTTTTCTTGACCAGAAAGAAATAGACAAGGGTACTGCTGTTTTAAAAGGACTTGTGAAAATCAATTGTGTTTCAGAATTTGGTTTTGTACCACAATCCTGTTCTTCCAAATACAAGTAGTGATCTCGTGTTCTGAATTGATAAGCATCAGCCTCATTAAGATAAAAGTATTCTGTGCCTCTTTACACCTTGGTGTCTAAAACTTGTGTGTGAGTACCATTTCTGCCTAGATAACTTAGAATCCAGATTTTTCCATTAATTTGTGTATTTTGGGGGTTTTTTTTCTGTCTTCCAAATATTTCCTCTTTTGGCCTGAATGTTCTGGCTTTTACTCTGCTGTACACAGAACCATTTCCTACTGTTTTTCTAAAGCTCTGCTTGGTTTGGGGCTGTCTGGGTATGAGAAGCTATCATTGATTTAATCATGTCATGATGTTTTATAATTTCAGAAAGTTCGTTTTCACTCTAGCATTCAAAACACAGAGAGTTTTTCTGGGAAGAACGCTTACACCAAGCCCACGAGATACCAGGTAATCAGAGCATGAAGGCAGGAGCCAGGGGAGAGCTCTGCCAGTGCCCAGCTCCTGCCTGCAGGAATCACCTTTGCCTTGTCCCAGGTGATGCTGTCCTGGCATGGGCACTGCCTCAGGGCTGGGCTGGGGTGTTTTGGAAACAAAGGCAGCCTGTACCCCATGGAAACACGCATGGTGTTAGCATTTGTCATGCTAATTAATGCCTCCCGAGGGGGTTTAACTCAACACACATCACCCAACCTTTACTCCTCCCATCTTGCATTGACGGCATTTCATCCCCCATGGCTCAGCCACCTCTCCAGCTGCTGCATTGACATTTGCATGTGCTTCCTCTGGCTCGTCCTGCCCAGCTAAGCCTGCAATGTGCTACGGTTCAGAACCCCCCTGTGGCTGCAGAGGTGGCACAGGGCACCACAGCTGCCTGTCCAGCTCCAGTGTGGTGCCAGCAGATGTGCAAACGTGTCCCAGGGCAAAACAGAATGTGGCCCACAGGATTTTTGCCTTCTTTTTTAACATAAAGTGGAAAGGAATCTGATGGCAAGTGTTGTGTCTGAAAGGACTGACATTAAAGATAGATGAGAAAAATAATAGTTAAATTGGCTAAAATGGGCAAGGGCAATTCCAGAAGTGGTTTGTCCTATGTTGGTACCGCTTCCAGCACAATGGGCTCCCAAGCTGTTCAGCAGACCAGTAAGAAATTTCTACTGGTTTTAAAAATTTTTCATGCTTTTCTACCAAAATAGGAGGGGTATCTAAAAATCTAAGTTAGAAATGGGATGCATTCACTCTGGCATCTGGAGTTAGTTGGCTTGATTCTATCAAAGGAAAAGGGATGAGAGATTGTGCCCTGCTCAAAGTGGCATTTCAGCACTTCTGAAACATCCCCATCCATTCAAACCCACAGATGATGTGTCAGCCTCTGCTGGACTGGTTCTCTTCCTGTAGCTATTATTTCTCAATGAGGCCACCCAGTGTTTATGGTAAATTAGACTTTTATTTCCAATATTGAAAAAGACAAAGGTGAAAATAGACAAAAAAATATAAGTACCCGTTATTTTGTTTTAATAATGCCAGGTTTGTCTTCAAACTACCTTAGAACATTTTGGTTGCTGCAGAAAGAAATTGCCCAAATAATATAAGGAGAATGTAATAGTCTGAACATAAAGAAAAAGGAGCAGTGTGATAATTTGTCTGGAAAGCTTTTCTTCTACAACTGGGAAAACCTTTGAAGCAGTTGCTTCTTGCTTAGCAGTGTTTATTGAGGGATGTATCTGCAGTCTCTGCAGTCTGTGTGCTTAAGACTACGTATGAACAGTGCTCTAGAGGGATAACAAAAATATACAGAATTTAAACATGCAATATTTTGAAAAGCATGAGGAACAATTCAGTACAGCTGCCATGATTTGGGAATAAACTAGTCTAGGAAAAATGATATCTTTATCAAAGAGAATATGGGAACTGGTGTAAGGAGAGGTTATGTATCATTTTTTTCCAGGTAATAAGAACCTGTGTTCTGATTCCTTGTTTTAGTCTAAATCTCCTCTGACTTCTGCTCTGGAAAAAAAGTTACTTATTTTTGGACCCAGGATTTCCCTACTTTCCCCAAACATTACTTCATTTATGTTTTCTCAGGTGACAGCCCTACCTCCCTCTGGATTCTACTACCTTGGCCATCTCCAGCACACCGTAGGTGCACTGTACCTCATCTCTGCTGCCTTAGCCAGATGCCTCTGACATACAGGACAGTCTTAGTCATCCCATATTCCATGGCTGCATGGCATATACAAATGACTGGATCCTTCTTTGATCTCCACAAGCCTTTTGCACTGCTATAATCCTTATTTGGCTAGTCAGAAAAAAGAGCAGGTGTACTGTTTTCTTAATGTCACACCCTTTGTAGCATTTTTCAGATGTTCCAAGCAGAGATGTGATTGCTTTGTGAAGGGAGTCCATGCTGGGAGATGCTTCTCCTTTAACACTGGACATCTGGTCAAAGACACTGAGCTCTCTTGTGTTTGCAGAGGATGTATGTAAATCTCTGTCTCTAAGAGAGCAGTTCTTTTTATGTTTATATATATTTATTCCTTTTTTCCTTTATAGGTTTTTATTATGAGATTTTTTTCCTCACTGGGGTATCTTTTCTAAAGTGAAGACAAGGCTATCAGCTGTACCCCAGAGTGCAGCCCAAAACTGCCAAAGTTATTTTCCTTCTAGATAAATGGAGCTTAGGCATTCTTGGAACAATAGCACATTGCAAGCTCATATCCATAACTATCATCTATTCCCATACTTACTCTTCCTTACTAACAATCATCTTCCATTTTGTAAATTTACATGGCTTTACATTTTTCACCATATATGTCTCTTAAAATCCACCATTTCCATAAGAAACTTTTCTCCCTTAAGTCAAGTTCCCCACCTTTCTTCAGACTCTCTTTTCTCTGTCCTTCTCTAAATTTATTTTCTTTTTAAAACCCAATGACAAGGGTAACAAAATCTTTCTGTGAACCTCAGGTCAGCTGCATTGTGAGTGAGTTTTCTAACATCATTAATTAACCACTTATTTCTTCCTGTAAAGTACTATTAGACAGCAACATGCTAAAAGAAGGCTCTTGGAACCCATTTCCTTAGCTTTTTATTGGATCATCTGTGTTTTCTTTCTGTCTGTGGGACATACTCTACATTCACATGCATCCCACAAAGAACCCCAAAGTGCTGAGTGATAGAGTGACTGTCAATCAACTACTGTAGCACAATGTTCACAATGTAAAATGTAAAATAAATGGGGGGAAAAGATAATAAAATATCCCTGGTGAAACCAGATGTTTGAGTTGCTCATAATAAGTCTGGCATGTGGACAGTCTCCCACTGAAGGAGTGTTTCTGTTCTCCTTCCAGAAGATAATGAAGCGTCTGATCAAGCGCTACGTGCTGAAGGCTCAGGTTGACCGGGAGAATGACGAGGTCAATGAAGGCAAGTGGAATTTTATAACTGACCCACCTAAGGAGCATGAGCTGTTATTGCTGCTGATCTGGCCAGTAGGAGGGTTGAGCTTAGTTAAGATGCTCTGTAGAGAGATCTTGCTCATGCTCACACTCAGGTGAGCAGTGCTGACTCTGAGCCACCCTTGTGCCCTTGGAATTCCAGGTCCTTGGTTGTCCTCAGCTGAGCACAGATCTCACAGGATCTTCACCCTGCCCTGCTCACCCCTGTAGCTCTGCCACCAGGGTATTGCCAACACCCAAGCTTACTCTGGTGTCTAGGTGAAGCATTTTCTGACTGCCCTGCCCAAGCCTGCCACAAGGACTCTGTTTTGAATGGGATCCAGATTCATATTGCTGTGGTGGCATGTGGGATTTGTGTGCAGACAGAAAGGAACCTCTAACACCTCTTAACTACCCTCCTGCAAACACCCTGCATAGCTGGAGATCAGATTGTGGAGAGAGAACAAATTTGAGAAAGAAACATGAACTCTCCCCACATATTTGCTGTTGCTGTTGGTACCAGTACTGCAAGTACAGGTTATTCCTTGTAACTACAGATATTAAATGTGTAATGCAGGGAGATCAAATGCAGCTCCACACACATTCCTGACAGAACACACTGCAATTATTGCTCTCTCAGGTCTTGGAACCATAGGGATTATTGACTTGGTTCAGTATGGCTAACAAGAACATTTTCCTCTTTCAGGAGAACTTAAAGAAATCAAACAAGATATTTCCAGTCTCCGCTATGAACTCTTAGAGGAAAAGTCCCAAGCTACTGGTGAGCTGGCAAAACTAATACAGCAGCTGAGTGACAAGTTTGGGAAGACCTTAAATAAGGACATTTGATGGTGAATTCAGAGAAAGACAACTTGTTTTCTAAACATTGTTCATTCTCAACCAGCATCTTAGGAGGGCAAAAACACGTGAAAGATGGGTACTGCACACTCAGATTTTGCTGACAACCAAGTGTTGGTAGGAGCACTTTGCTTTTCTCCCGCACTTGGTGAGTGACCAGTTAAACCTTTTCTGATACAAAAGTGACTTTATGGTAAAAATCTATGCCCCTCAACAGAAACAGATGCACCATAGAGAAGGCACCTCCAATTAAAGGCAAAAAAATGCCAGATCTTCATTCACCTGACTCCAGAGAAGACAATGTAACTGTGCTCATTAACACCAACAGAGTCTGTACTGACCAGGAATGGGTGAAGCCTGAAGAAAAAATGTGCCAAGCATATTCCCTACAAAAATTTTTAAATTCCTATTCTTGGGTGTGTACTCTCCTTTTATTTACATTTTTTGTTTACATTGGCAACCCTGAATATAACTTTGGCAACCCTGAATATAACTTTGATCAGCCCTGTGGCTAATGAAAAGCTAATGAGAAATCATCTGTTGAAGTGACCAAGGCAGTGAACAAGAAGTAGACACTGACAGCATTGGAAAAATGAAATCAAGCTTGTGGGGTAAATTATCCTTTAGCCTGATGAAAGGATTTCCAGCCAAACACTCCTGTCCACCTTTTCCAGCTGTATTAGCTAGTCTGCTGATGGATATGGTCTCTTTGTATGCACTTAGCCTCTCTTTTATCTTTAGTCGATCCCATCTCCAATAACAGTGGACTGAAATATTCGTCATGATGTGAAACTCACTTCCCAGGAATGGCCAGAGATAAAACACCTTGTGCTAATGTATTCAGTTCAAAGAACAACACTAATCCAGAGACAGCAATGCCACTGAGCTCAGCTTTCAGATTCCAGAGGTCAAACTGCAAGCCATAGGGAGAGATCGATCACAAAGAACATTGCCCAGTAGTTTCCAGCCTTGAAATTTGTACAAAAAAGTTTCGATTGAACATTCTGACCAAAAAAAAAAACACAAAAAAAAAAAAAAAGAGGAAATGAAGGAAAAATCATTGTAGAAATTGTTGTCATGTTTTTGGCTCTTACAGAGGATGAGAAAGGGATTCAAAGTGTTCTAAGGCTGTGGTAATAGAAGGATCACACTTTTTCAACAGGAAAGTTGTAAGTCTGTGCAACACAGCTGCAAACATGGATGGCTTGGGTTTTCATGGTTGGCTACATGATTTCAACTACTTAAAGCACACCTTACTACTTGGGAACCATGGAACTGGACTGTTTGTTTACATGAGACACCTATAAAATGAACATGACATCTAGGTTTCAGCTGAGACAAACAAGCAGAGCCAGAAGGTGACCTGTGATCAGTTCTTAAGTGCCAGATGAGAATACATATAGCCTATTAGAATAATAGTTATATTTGTACAAAAATAAAAGAAAACAAAATAAAAAAGTGTACTGTACGTAGATCTGTTTAGAGAAAAAAAATACTGTATTTTTACCTTTAATAAAATTATCTTGTATACTGTAATATTTTTACCTAAAAATGGAAAAAAAATAAAATTACCTCATAATATTTTGTTGTCCACTGAGTGAAATATTTGCTTGATCTTTTGACTATCTATTACATGGCCTTTTTTTTTTTTGCTTTTCTCCCATATGTGAACAATGAAATTATTATACAAAGTAATTTTACCATAGTCATTCTGAAGCCTGAAAGAGCCAAAATGCAATGCTTAAACTAAAATACATTTTAAATGAATAAAACTAGGGAATGGTATTTACTCAGCACTTTGGGCTGTCTCCCACAGCAAATTTTGCCAATATATTTCCAGTTTTCTCCATAAGAGGAAGGAATGTATTTCATGGCAATGCTACTTGTCCCCTCCCCACCTTTCCAGCCACTGTGTAAAACTTTTTTCCATTTGAAAAACCAGCCCTGTTGTCACAGCACCATCTTAAAATTTAATCTGATTACATCTCTACACCAGGCTCCTGACCAAAGTATTCCTTCACCCTTCCCATTCATTGTTTTAGGGATTTAAGGAAAATTGTTCTAGGTAGAACTTACAAGACCACCATAATTTAAATTTCTCATGGTATTGAATGCAAGTCCTGCAGAAAGGTTTAGTTGAAATGCTGTGATGCAGTTATGTTTCGTATATTCCAACGCAGCTCAGCCTGATCTACAGTAGAGCAACACCTACAGGAGATTCTTCTACTGCTAAATATTGCAATCAATGCATGCTCTGCTCAGCACAAAGAACTCCATAGTGGGCATAACTTTGGTGCATTTTTGGGTCCCAGGTGGAGGTGCAGCTGTGCCCATCAGCTCCTGCCCTTCCAGCATCTGGAAGCAAGTGAAAGAGTGCAGTCCTGCCACAGGGAGTTAGCATGCTGCTCTCACTCAGGAGCCTGCCAAGAAACAGCACAGTATTCTCCAGGGCTTCAAAAGTAGACTAAAATATTAAAAATATTGTTTAAAAAAAAATCTGCTTCCTACCCTTTTGCATTTACATTCTTGAAAGTATCAAAGTACAGAGACTTTATATAAATATTCATGACAAGCAAAATCCCAGTACATCAGAGCACTTTTCTCATCTGGTCCCAGTAACACACCCAAGAAAGTTGTTCACTGTGTATTAATGGACTGTTGGCAGAAGCAGGGTTTATTCTCCAAGGTCAGTTTATAAGAAATTAAAATTAAGAAGCTTCACTGCAAGAGAAGCCTGAGAGAACTTAGAGAGTTTGAAGAGGAAAAATCAAGGTGGGTGAGTGCCAGATTGGATGAGAGCTGAGACATGCGGGTCCCCTGTCCCATTTCCCATCACCAGGGGACCTCCTGGCAGAGCGGTGTCACATCAGCTGAGTTGGATTTCCTCCAGTCTGTGACACCTCTGACCTTTGGCTTTGTAGTGTAGGACTTGGTATTCCTTGGACAAATTCGTACTGTGAAGGGATGGAACTTTTTACACAAATTATTTGTAGATACAGAATTATAACTTTTTATGGGAAATAAGAGAGGTCCCGTAAAAATGAAACTAATCTGGACTCCTCCACACAAAGGTGAATATTCTCCAAGAGATGGTCACAATTCTGCAAATACCACAGGCCAATCAAACTGGAACTGAAACAGACACCCTGAGGAGGATCAGTACAAAGTCATTCATGAGCCACTATTGATTTATTGACTGCCCAAGCCTCTAGGCAGCTGTTCCACACCTTGCAAAGGCCAAACCAGTCAGCTGCTGCCAACAGAGAGGAAACAACAGCAGGGAGCATGAACAGAAGTTGGTATTTCATGGGGCTGAAGTGCCTGGTGTTAAGCAGGGACCCCAAGGGACAGGTCCCAGAGCAAAGGAGCTGCCCAGGGGCACCTGGCACCCTGGCCCTGCTGCAGCAGCAAGGGCTGGATGGGCTGGGCAGCCACAGGGCAGATGGGATGCTTCATGCTCATCTTTGCTCTCCAGCTGGATTCATTCTGCCTGTAACCTTGTGGAGGATGACTAACAAATACTGTCCTCAGTTCCCAAAAAACATGGTTTAAAAGTAAATATTATGAAGAATATGAATGGTGTAATGAATAATGGCTTACAAGGCTGCCTGCATCCTGACCAGAGCTCATATTAAATTGTCAGAGCTAGGCTTTATTTTTAATTAATCTACATGAGGAAAGCATTTCCAGCAGGCCAAAAGAAATTGCCCTAATTAAAAGATACAAGAAATGAATGATCACTCAGTGAGGACAAGCCAGGACACAGTCCATCACCACAAAGGCAGGAGAGCTGAGCAGCGTGGACAGGGCTCCAAACACGTCTGCAGCTGAGAGCAGATCTCTGCTGCACCATGGCCAGGTCTGGCTGCAGCCCTGGGAGGAGGCAGGACCTGCCCTGCACCTGCCACACAACCCCTGTGCTGCCTGCCTGGCAAACAGAGCATTTCATCCTCAGCTGAGGATGAGCAACCCTGGGTTACCCCCCTGAGTAACCCACAGGCAGGGAAGGGAGCCACAGCCCCAGGAGGGCTGGCAGGCAGTGCCCAGGTGGGCAGGGTGGGTGTTTCCTCTATCCAGACACTGTAAATACCTCCCCTGGGACCTGAAAAACAGTTCTGCCCTTGCTTTGCCACAAACCTCTCCCCACTGCAGTGTCAGAGGCTGCAGGCAGCAGGTCCCAGTACTCCCCTTGCACCCTGGCTGTGACTGGGCTGTGAACCCTGCAGGTAGCACACCTGGTGCTGGACAGCAGCCTGCACAAGCTACAGCCTTAAGGAACTGACCTTTTCATTGAGAAAGGAGGAGTTTTATGCATTTTTATTGCACGGGGGAAATGAAATAGCCTTAGCTTCCAGTGAAGGAAGGCAGATGCAGAGAAATTCAGTGATTTGCCTTAATGACCTGAAAGGAAGGGCCCAAAAATGGGGCTGTGGTTCTGAATCTTATTAGAATGAAAATATGCTCATTAGCTTTGCCCTCTCTTAGTCCCTGTTCTGCATCTTTGTAGGGCATATACTCCTCAGTGAGGGATAGGATCTGCCAATGCCTGATGCCAGCAGCACAAGAGCAACAGGAAAAAAAAAAAAGAATGATTGCCTCAGTGATCATATATAATTTTGGGAAGCCACCCCCTTCAATCCCTGGGAGATTTTAGTGGCTCTATATCAATATGCCTTCACTATTGTTGAATTTAAATAAAGGCAAATAGAAAGGGAGGTTGCAACCAAAGAAACAAAATAACTAAACTGATTTGTGATGACTTTTACTGCAGGTAAAAGGACACTCTCTTCAGGTCATTTGAGACAGACATTTAACACAAACCTGCAGTGTGACAAAGGGGATTAAACAGTTAATGAACAGCTAATGATCCTGTTAATATGCAACTAATGTTTACTATAATACAGACTAATATTTAATTCCCTTACTAATGATTAATTATTGTGCTGCAAGGTTTTAATTAGGCTTACATAGCAGAAGCATGGGGGGTCTGGTGAGGAGATGAATTTCTGTGTGAAGCCACTGCCCTGAGTCCAGGCTCTTCCCCAGCAGCTGCCCCGGGGTGGGCACAGCTTTGACAGCTCAGCACAGCCCACGTGGGAGGGAGCAGGAGATGGAAATCGTTCCCTTGTACATCCAGGTGGGTGGCACAGACTCATAGCAAGTTGCTTTTGAAAACAAGCTGATGGAAACCTGTCCCTGTGGCCTGCAAATGAGAGCATCCTGCACTGTGCTCTCCCCCTGGAGCAGGGCTCCAAACCCCTCTGCCCTGTTCCCAGCATCCCTTCTGATGGCAGGCACTGCAGCAGGGATTGCAGGAACTCACTCCAAGGTTTTCATTTGAAGAGGAAAGCTTCCATGAAATTAAAAAGCTGGTTTGATGCAAAAGTGCTCTCTGTGCAAGAACATGCTTTGGGCCAAATCTTCACCATGATTCACAAACACAATTAAAAAACTGAGTTTATCCTAAAAAGCAGCTCATTGGGCTTGTGTGTATAGAAGCAGCACTGACTGGTTCTGTCAGTCATTCCTGCAGCCAGCCAGGACAGACAGACAGGGCTTCAGCAAGATACTCAGAAGAGCACATTCAGAAGTTGGAAATAGGAGTATTCCCAACTCCATTGGCAGCCAGCCAAGTGACCCCACAGTTTAGGGACTTTGATTTTTGTCCCAGATTTCAGGCAAGGCTTTGGGTGAGCAGGCTGGTTGGAGGGGCAGCCCCTAAGCCCACCTTGGAGCAGAGCTCAGTGCAGCAGCACTACCCCAGTGAGCCCAAAGCACAGCAGGCAGTGAATCACAGAGACCTGAGCAGAAGCAATGTTCACTGCACAGTGAAGAGACCAGAGGGACACTTTTGTGCTTGTTCAACATTCTGAAGTGCTTGTTGTGTACCTGGGAGCACCTGGCTGGTCCCTGCTGCCATCTAGGCATCACAGCAGAGCCACACTTGTCCTGCTGTGACAGGAATCCCTGTGGGACATGGGTGTGGTGGCAGAGCCAGCACAGGCACAGGGGCTGCAGAGTGGCTGCTGCCACTGCCTCCAGGGCAGGATGGAAGGGATGATATCACACACTTGGACCACAGACCTAGAGCAGGTTTTGCTTTCAGAGCAGAACAAGGTGGGAGAGGTGAATGCAGGCAGGAGAGGAGTGAGAATGAGGGAGGAACTTTGCACTCATGGCAGCTGAGCTGTAGCATGGAGACTGAGGTGTGCATCATTGTCTGTGCCTCATTGTCCTTTGGGGTGAAATACAGTCCATGCACTCTGAGTTTTACTGCTGAGTTTCTTTAAATATTTAGAAAAAAAAAATTGGGGGGTGAGGGATGGGGCTCATGTTCTGCACCCATACTAAAGGGAAAATGATGAGGAGGGAGAGATCCAACTAAAAATACAATTAAATGAGAGGGAAAAGTGGGTGTCAGCAGGCATAAGAGAAAATAACAGCCCTTTCTCAATTGGAGTTACAGCCACCAGCATGAACACCTTTACCCAAGCTGTGCTGGCTCAGAGCTGACCCCTGGGGACAAACAAAGCAGGGATACAGCTGCAGAATCTGCCCAAAGCCACCCCAAACACTGCCTTTGGCTCAGAGAC